AAAAAAGATTTTATTTATTTATCTGACAGAGAGAGACACAGCCAGAGAGGGAACACAAGCAGGGGGATTGGGAGAGGGAGAAGCAGGCTTCCCGCAGAGCAGGGAGCCCGATGTGGGGCTAGCCGACTGATCTTTTAAAAACGGAGAGCATGACATTATTCTGCTCAACATTCTCCAGTGGTTTCTAAACTCCTGACTTCCAAGCTCAAGCTTACCGAGCACTCTTGGATCTTTCCTGTCTATCCCTTTGTGACCCAATTTCCAAAGTGTAGGAGAGTCCTCACACCAACAAACAATTCTTGAACACCAGCAGGTGTGTAAAAATTCAACTCAATTCTGACGCTATCAGACTGCACAGCTTAAAGGTTCAGTCCTAAAAGATGCCCCCTTGCCCCTGGGGCAGTTCAGACCCCAGTTACAAGCCCAGGATACCTCTGCTTCTGACTGACTGTCTCTAAATCATAAGTTCCCACAACATCTTCCTCAGATTCGATTAATCTGTTGCAGTGGCTCACAGGACCCAGAGAAGTATTTTACTTGCTAGATCACCAGTTTATTATAAAAGGATATAACTCAGGAACAGCAGATGAGAGAGATGCATAGGGCCAGGTATGGGGAAAGGACTCAGAGCTTCCATGTCTTCTCCAGGTGGGCTGCTCTACCCGCATCTCCACATCTCCACGTGTTTTCACCAACTCAGAAGCTCCCTGAAGCCTGTCCTTTTGGGGTTTTATGGAGGCTTCATTACATAAGCATGATTGATTAACTCATTGGCCATTGTGGATTGAATTCAGTTTCCACCACTTCTCTCCCTGGAGGTCCGGGAACTGAGACTGAAAGTTCCAACCCTCCAATCACATTGTTGGTCCTCCTGGTAACCAGCCACCCCATTAACTTAACAAGACATCTCAGTTGCTCTCCTGACTTAGGAGATTCCAAGGGTTTTAGGAGCTTTGTGCCAGAAACAGGACAAAAACCAAATATATATTTATTATTAGATATCACAACATCACACTCAATCATACTCCATATTTTCATTCTGATCTTGCACAGTGCACTCCATCCAAATGGAGTTCCTTCAATTCCTTGAACATGCCAAGCTCATCCGCCATCTCAGGGCTTCTGCATCCTCTGTTCCTTCTGCCTACAGTGCTCTTTCAAGCTTCCCACATTTGGCTCTTACCGAATATTCATTCTCAGCTTAGTAATTACATCTTCAGAGGCACCACCTGGCCCACAATGCAGAGCAGCAACTCCAGGCACAGTTTATCCTACCAGATATTTTTATTTATTTATGCATTCTTTCATTTTCTAGTCTAAATATCCTCCACATTAGGAGCTCCTGGGTAGCTCAGTCAGTTAAGCATCTGCCTTCAGCTCAGGTTATGATCCCCGGGGTCCTGGGGTCAAGGCCCAAATTGGGCTCCCTGCTCAGGGGGGAGGCTGCTTCTCCCTCTTTCTCTGCCCCTCCCCCTGCTCGTGCTCTCTCTTGTGCACGCGCACTCTCAAATAAATTTTAAAGAATTTTACATGAATGAATGAATGAATGAATGAATAAAATAAATATCATCCACATTCGTATATATGCTAGAAGACTACCAAATTCTTTCGGTGCTAAAACTCTAGAGTAACGCTGTCCAGTAGAAACATACATGCAGGGCACCTGGGTGGCTCAGTTGTTAAGCGTCTGCCTTCGGCTCAGGTCATGATCCCAGGGTCCTGGGATTGAGTCCTGCATCGGGCTCCCGGCTCAGTGGGAAGCCTGCTTCTACCTCTCCCACTCCCGCTGCTTGTGTTCCTGCTCTCGCTATATCTGTCTGTCAAATAAATAAATAAAATCTTTAAAAAAAAAAAAAACATACATGCAAGCTACATGTGAGGCTTACCATTCTTTCTACAAAGTAAAAGAAATCGATTTTGATAACGTATTAATTTTAAATAATACATTGTATGTAACCCAACATGTCAAAAAGAATATCATTGAAACATATAACCAATATAAGAATTACCAATCAGCTATTTTACATTCTTTTTCCATGGTAAGTCTTTGAATGTACTAAATGGGTGTTACACTTAAAGCACATCTTGCACCAGTGAGAGCTCAATAACCATATGTGGCAAGTGGATTCTATATTGGACACCCAGCTCTGAAGGTTTAGGAGATATCTACCACCTAGCAGATGTTCAAATAATAATTTTTGAAATTGTCCGGCCCCCAACTTACCACCAACTGAGATCTGTTTTCTGTTGCTAGTTCCCAGCTTCCTGCAGAGTGACTCAGCTTGGGCAGATATTTTATTGGATAAGGTGGGGGAGGGACAATGGAGCTGGAACCAATCAGGTGACAGAAACCCAGGGCTTTTTGCAATTTCCAGAAAGCACCCTGGATATGTTGTCTGTGTACTCTCCTTAGAGACTGAAGTCTGAATATTCCCCTCACCTCCAGCCTACTGTGGGAGACAGGAATTCAGCCCTCTAAATGTCAAGGGTCAAGGAGCGTGGGTGTCCAGGCCCTTTCTCCTTCAGAGATTCAGGAAAATGAAGGAAATAATTACTGAGGTGAGAAGAACTCAAGACAAGCAATACAAAGCGGGAGATGGTGGTTAAGCAAAAACTTGTTTCTCTCCTCACATAACAGTTCTGACACCAAATGTGTAGTAAAGGGCTGGATCCCACAAGACTGCCCCATTTCAGATGCTACTTGCAAGTCCCAGGTTGTCACCTATACCTGACTGACCCGCTATAAATCAGGGGTCCCTGTGAACCCCTCCTCAGGTTCAGTAATTTGCTAGAGTGGCCCGACAAACTCAGGAAGGCAATTTGCTTCTGTTTACCAGTTTATTATAAAGGATACGACTCAAGACCAGTGGAAGCCGGCATCCGTCATGTCAGTTTGGATGAAAAAATGAACAGTAGAGTTCTTATCACCCCCAGGCCTGGCTGGACCAGCTGAGGAACCTGTAGGAACGCAACCCCACTAGCTTACAAGTAGTTAATTAGCACTACCGTAAAGATATAATCACCAGATGTACTTAATGAAATCTCTAACATAAAGAATAAAGATATTTTTCAGATTCTCAGTCTCTTGAGTTGGAAAAGACCTCCAGGGAACCAGATGAAGTGTTACTATAGCATCCAGCTTCTCAGGAGACCCCTGCCCCAAATTTTGCCCATTATTTTATTTTAAAGATTTATTTGAGAGAGAGCACAAGCAGGGTGGAGAGGGGGAGAAAGAATCTCAAGCACACTCCCCGCTGAACAGGGGCCTGATGCAGGGCTTGATCCCATGACCCTGAGATCGTGACCTGAGCTGAAATCAAGAGGCGGACACTGAACCAACTGAGATACTCTGGTGCCCCAAATTTTGCCCTTTAAAACCCCTCACTTGCAAGCCATTAGGGAGTTTGGGGCTAATGAGCATTAGCTCCACATTCTCCTGGGAGGCGCCACACCAATAAATAGCTCTCCTTTCTTCACCGCCAAAGCTCAATGTCAGTTTTTATTGGCTTGCTGCACATCAGGTGGACAAACTCTCATTTGGTTCGGTTACACGGCCAAATGGAAGAGATGCATACAGCAAGGTATGCATACGGTGGAGTGCACACTTTCCTCTCTGAGGGTACCACCCTCCCAACACCTTGGTGGGTCCACTAACCTGGAAGCTCATCAGATCTTTCCAGTCAAGAGTTTTGTTTTATTTTTTAAGATTTCATTTATTTATGAGAGAGAGAACATGAGCAGGTTGAGGGACAGAGGAGCCCTGCATGGGGCTTGATCCCAGGACTCTGGGATCTGACTCATGACCTGAGCCGAAGGCAGATACCCAGCCGACTGAGCCACTCAAGCACCCCTCCAGTCAAGAGTTTTTAGGGCCTGGGTGGCTCAGTCATTAAGCGTCTGCCTTCGGCTCAGGTCATGATCCCAGGGTCCTGGGATTGAGCCCCGCATCAGGCTCCCTGCTCCTTGGGAGCCTGCTTCTCCCTCTGCCTCTCTCTCTCTGTCTCTCATGAATAAATAAATAAAAATCTTTAAAAAAAAAAAAATGCTGCTACAACAAGGAAGGACAATTGTGCAGTGACAGGAGGGGAAAGGCCAATGAAGCAAAATTGTACATTATGGGCCCACCCTAGCTGTAGTTTGGGAGACAGGACCTGTGAACCACACACAATACTATTGTGGATTATGAGGGCTCCTGTTCAGTGAGCCCCTCAAATGTGCCAGTCACTGTCCATTTTATAATCTCCAATTACAGCAACCTTCTCTGGGATAAGGAGAGGAAACCACGGCTCTGGCAGGGGAAGTGACTTGCCTGGTGAGTGTCACAACTACTATGGGGCACAACTGAATTTATGACCAGATTTCAAATGGCAGCTCAGTACTTCTGTGTTAGCTTACTCTACTTCTCTAGCATATTTGCACTTCCAAGTTTTGCTTTTTTTTTTCCCTCCAAGTTTTTAAATAACTGTTTCAGTTCTCCTTTTCTCCTCTCTGCTTTTACCTGGCTTCGCCCCTCCTCGTCCCCGTTCTCAGCTGATGCCTTTGCCTCATATTGTAATGGGAAAATGGTAACCATTAGAACTTTTTAGCCTGCGCTGCCCGAAACCTTCCAATCTACTTGCACTTGTTGTAGTGAGTAAAGCATTCTCATTCATCCCAGCAGCTACCCTCCCATGTTTGCTCTGGATCCCTCTCTACCTCACCTTCCTGAGAACTTTCCTCCTGCATTATCCCTTTTCTTTTCTGCCAAAGACAAAAATCCAAGATTTTCTTTCTACTAAGGCCATTCTCACTATCACATAAATGTTACCGTATCTCCTCCCTATAAAAAGAAACCATCCCGGGCGCCTGGCTGGCTCAGTGGGTAGAGCACATGACTCCTGGTCTCAGGGTCATGAGTTCAAGCCCCACAATGGGCGTTGAACTTACTTCAAAAAAAAAAAATAAATAAAAAGAAACCATCCTTGGCCCATATTCTGTTCTAGCTTCAGCCCTATTTCTCTCAAGAGAATTCTTTCTGTGAAGAGGATTCACAGCCAAACTTTAGAAGGGAGTGTCTCCACTCCTCACCTCACATTTTCTCCTACACATACTCCAGACTGACTTCGCTGTTCAGCACTCCACAGAATGTGCTCTCCTCAGGGATACCTGTGGCCTTTTTGTTGCCGGCTCCAGTGGTCCCTTCTCAGTCCTCATCCTGATACCTCAGTGATGTAGCACCCATGTGACCCCTTCCTCCTCCTCCTTTTTTTAAAGATTTTATTTATTTACTTGAGAGAGAGAGAATGAGAGAAAGAGAGAGCATGAGAAGGGGGAGGGTCAGAGGAAGAAGCAGACTCCCCGCTGAACAGGGAGCCTCATGTGGGACTCGATCTCGGGACTCCAGGATCATGACTTGAGCCGAAGGCAGTCACTTAAATGTATCCACAGTACACTCTTGGTTGTTATTATAGCTCAATTGGCCACCTCTTCTCAGTCCAATTTACTAGCTTTTTCTCCTCTAAATTTAACTTTTTTTATTTTTAAAGATTTTTTTTTTTAAGATTTTATTTTAGAGAGAGAGCGCTCTTGTGCTCATGAGCAGGGGGAGGGGGAGAGGGAGAGAGAGAATCCCAAGCAGACTCCACATGAGCATGGAGCCCAATACGGGGCTCACAATCCTGAGATCATGACCTGAGCCAAAATCAAGAGTTGGATGCTCAACCGACTGAACCACCCAGGTGCCTCTGGAAGATTTTATTTTTAAGTAATCTCCACACCCAACGTGGGGCTCAGACTCACAATCTCGAGATCAAGAGTCACACATTCCACTGACTGAGCCTCCAGGCACCCCCTCTAAGTTTAACTTTACATGTTAGGGTGTCTCTGGGTTTATACCTGCTCCCTTGCATCCTCTATACATAGTCTTTCCATAGTATCATCCAGTCTCATGGCTTATAATACCACACTGATAACTTCTTTTTTAAAAAGTTTTATTTAGGGGCGCCTGGGTGACTCAGTCGTTAAGCGTCTGCCTTTGGCTCAGGTCATGATCCCAGGGTCCTAGGATCGAGCCCCACATGGGGCTCCCTGCTCAGTGGGGAGCCT